ACACCGCTCAGCCAGCTGCAGGCCCATCCTGGGGCTGCCCACCCCTCGGGTCCTAAGGAGGCAGCAGCCACCGCCCGTGATGGGCACCTCTCCTCCACGCCGACAACGCAGCCCGCACGGCCGCCTCCCCTACACTCTGGGAATGTCACAGTCTCGATGCCTGTGAGCACGGCCGGGGACATCACTAACGGCGGCATCGCTGGACTTGCAGAAACAGAGACACACTGTGCTCTCAACAGAAACGTCCTCTCCGTGGAAGCTCCGGCTGCAAAGCCCCAGGACGGAGCCTCAAGAAAGCGCAGGCCGCCACCTGGACGTGAAGCTGGAGGATGGAGAACAGGCCCGTGAACACCTGAGCGGCATGAAGCCAGCGGCGGAGGCGCACCTCGGCCTCGCTCCCCACGCCTGAGCAACAGCCCTGGCGCCACCGGCAACGGGAGGGCAGGTGAGGGCAGGTGAGGGCCTACAGGCGAGCTCCAGGGTCACTGCCCAACCCCCGGGCAGAGGAGCTGCCCTGACCACAGGACCGTGCTGCTCCCGGAGCGGTGGCCTGGAGAGCAGGATGGAGAGCAGGCACCGCTCCGGCCCCAGTCAGCTCGGCACCTGTGTCTCCCCGCTGCTCACGGGTCCGTTAATGAAGATGACGATGCCCTAGCCCAGTGGTCGGCAAACTCATCAGTCAGCAGAGCCAAACATCAACAGTACAACGACTGAAATTTCTTTTGAGAGCCACATTTTTTAAACTTTAACTATATAGGTAGGTACATTGTTATTAACTTAATTAGGGCACCCCTAAGATGGCCTTTGCTAAAAACGTCCTCAATCTGATGGAGGTACGTTCGCTGAGGTCGACCCCTTCCAACTCTCTCATCCACACTCGTCTTGTTTACTTGTTTCGTCCATCTCCTTTCGTTCATCCTCTCTATATGTCCAAACCATCTCAACATACCTTTCTCAATCCTCGACACTACATCTTCTTTCACTCCACAACGTTCCCTAAAATTAACTTAATAAATTTTACTTAAAGTTTTAAGTCTTAGTTAAAAACCATAGTTAGAACCACTTCTTCAAAATAGACTCGCTCAGGCCGAAAACCGACTTCTACGCATGGGCCATGAAGTTTCAGTCGCACTGTACGTGCGCGCCTGCACGTGGTATTTTGTGGAAGAGCCACACTCAAGGGGCCAAAGAGCCGCGTGTGGCTCGTGAGCTGCAGTTTGCCGACCACTGCCCTAGACAACAAGCAAAGAGCTGTGCAAACATGGAGCATGAAACATGAGGTCCAGTCTCCAAACCACTTCTGCCCGCGTCCAAGCTCCCAGCATCCGGCCCGCGCCTCCCTCAGAGCACCCTGCGGTCACCTCTGGAAACGCTGCAGATCGGATCTGTCGGCTGGTGCTTCTCCACCGCCGTGGCTCTCTCATAATTCCAATCGCCTGGCATGGCGTGTGCGGCCCAGTGCGCCCTGCCACACCTCCCGTGGCTGCACACCACTCCGGGTGGCACAGGGACGAAGGGTCCCAGGCCTCCCCACCCGTGCTGTCACCGTGAGCCCTGCCACGCTGGCTGCCCTGCGGTGCCCTCCTGCTCCCGCTGCTGTGCGCTGTGCTGCTGCCTTGTGTTGCTGCTGCCACGGCAACCACAGAGGAAGCCAGACCCCAGATGACGAGCCCAGAGGAGCCCGAGGAGCAGGAGATGCAGTCCCCAGTGCAAAACGCTCCCACCACCTCCACCCTGGGCCTGGTCAGTGCCACGCCCCCGGTCCCTCCGGGAGCTAAGCCGGTCTGAGGGGGAGGCTGCTGAGTGAGAGCGTGCCATGGGTGCGTGGCCTCTGGGCGCCGGCCCGCCTCTCCGCAGCACCCACATTTCCCGCTCAGGTGCATACCTCCATGACTTTAAGTGACGAGGAGGACACGCGTCTCGAAAGGTTCAGGCTTAAAGCGAAGGGGAAGAAGCTGAATAGAACCCGCTGCAGGGAGCAGGTGAGCTCCCAGTGGTGGATCTGAGCAGCATGTCCCGGGAGCTCCAGGCCCCACACTGCCCGCGGGGCACGTCCCAGGGGCATCACCCCCTCCCCCCAGACCTGAACGCTGAGCTCCGAGTTACCGTCTCTCACCCTTCGAGGCCCTCCCTGCCTACAGACCCGGCTGAGCCCGAGTCATCCGCTCCCCCGACACCGAGACAGCATGGCTGCCTGCCGTGTGCGGGGTGAGCTGTGTGCCGCCTGCCGCGTGCGGGGGGAGCTGTGTGCCGCCTGCCGCGTGCGGGGGGAGCTGTGTGCCGCCTGCCGCGTGCGGGGGGAGCTGTGTGCCGCCTGCCGCGTGCGGGGGGAGCTGTGTGCCGCCTGCCGCGTGCGGGGGGAGCTGTGTGCCGCCTGCCGCGTGCGGGGGGAGCTGTGTGCCGCCTGCCGCGTGCGGGGGGAGCTGTGTGCCGCCTGCCGCGTGCGGGGGGAGCTGTGTGCCGCCTGCCGCGTGCGGGGGGAGCTGTGTGCCGCCTGCCGCGTGCGGGGGGAGCTGTGTGCCGCCTGCCGTGTGCGGGGTGAGCTGTAGGGTCAAAGTGGCCTTGGCCTGCCTGTGCCTGTGCAGAGTCCAAGGGCATCGTCCCGAGGTCACCGTCTGCCGGCTCACTCACCAGCTGGAACTCGCTCCTGCGGCGGAAGGCCTCCCGGATGCCCGAGTCCCCCCAGAGGGCGCTCAGGGCGGGCACGTAGAGCTGGAAGGTGGCGGGCTCCACGGGCAGCCCCGCCTTGTTCTCGAAGGCCATGAGGAACATGCCGTGCTTCTCGTTCTCCGAGTGCTGCCACGGGATGCCCAGCTTGTCCCGCGCGTCCACGAGCACCTTGGAGCCCTGGGGACAGAGGAAAGGGTGAGTGAGCTGCAGAGGCCGGACCACGCGGAGCTGCCGGCAGCGACTGTGACAGCAGGACACCCCGCTGTCCCCGTGCCACCCACAGCCCTCACGGCCCTCGGCTGTCGGGTCAGGCGCGGATGCGTACTCCTGGGACACGACTGCGCCATGAGGTTACGCACCGGGCGGCAGCGTGCCCTTTGCTGCCCTCACCGGGGAGGCCCTGGGAGCACACGCCTGGGT